GTCAATCAGAATTGGAATGACCCATGAGTGGCTGTTGTACTTCTAGCCTGGGTGAGCTAAAGAGACCTGGTCTGAAAACAAAATAAAGCAAAAATGTATGTAGAACACTCATGCCTGCCTCCGACTTGTCTTTCTGTTGCTGTTTGGATTTTTTTTAACCATCATAATTATCATACATTTACTGCATGTGTTCTATGATTTGTAACCATCAATGGTATCATCATGAGAAAATTAGTGTGAACTGCAGAACCTCAAGTAACATTGAGGGGTGGAGGTAGGGTTGAATGTTGTAATTGCGATGGAGAGGTAATTATTACTCAGTTACAGGTTGGGGTTCAGGGGTGGGGACCTGCAGCCACAAGGCCACATGTGGCCTTCTAGGTCCTTGGGTGCAGCCTTTTGCCTGAGTCCAAGTTTTACAGAACAAATTCTTTTATTAAGGGGATTTGTTCTGTGAAGTTTAGATTCAGTCAAAGGGCTGTACTTGAGGACCTAGAGGGCCACATGTGGCATCAATGCCACAGATTCCCCACTCCTGGACTAGATGGATTCTGCAGACTCTTCTAACCCTGAAATCCTGTGATTCCATAATTTTGTGAAAGGGACGTTTTTCTTTTCCCCTCAGAGACAACCAACCAGGGTAAATAAAGGTGTGCAATTTTCCAAATGCTCACTAACCTGATACCCTCCTCCTCAATTTCTGGCTCTGCTCAGTGTTCTGTGATGCTTGTCTAAAATACACATGATGGTGAACTAATGTCAGAATCTGGATGAACACCACTTAGTGCATGTCAGAATCTCTGCAATGTGTGTTTTTTAAAAATCCCCTGTAGTGATTCTGTCAATATTGTAAAACTGTTTTTGAATTATTGTTCCTTCCTTCTAGATTTTTTCTATGATTAAAATTGAACATTTTGTTGGGAATAGAATGGGAAGGTAAAAAAATATATATTTTTATGGGGCAGCTAGGTGGCACAGTGGATAGAGCACCGGCCCTGGATTCAGGAGGACCTGAGTTCAAATCCGGCCTCTGACACATAACACTTACTAGCTGTGTGCCCTGGGCAAGTCACTTAACCCCATTGCTTAACCAAAAAAAAAAATTAAAAAATATATATATATTTAGGGAGAGTATCATTATAGTGTACCTCCTAACTTACCTATTACTGACCAGAGGTACCAACCATTCTTTTTATTACCCAGGCTCGCAATCTAGGTGTTTTCTTTCTCTCCTCCTCACTCTCTCTCCTCCCACAACACCACAACTTGCTAATGCTGTCAAACCTAGGCTGATTCACTCATCCATATATGTACACGTGCATGCATGCATACACACATGTATACTTATATGCACATGTCCATATATGTACGACTATGTAAATATAAACATACACACATAAACATGCATGTGTATATATATATATACATATATATGTATCGATAGGTAGATAGATAGATAGATAGATAGATAGATAGATAGATAGATAGATGGATAGATGAATTGTATGTGGATCTGTCCTTCACAATATCTCTTGTATATGCCACCATCTTTCCTCTAACACCCTTGGTACAGGCTCTTATCTCACACTTAAACTACTGCAATAGTCTGCTAGTTGATATGCATGCCTCATCTCTCTCTACTTTAATCCATCCTATACTTAGTTATCAAATTGATCTTCCTGAAGTGCAGGTCTGACCATGTCACACACATCCCATCCCCATTCAATAAATTGCAGTGACTCCCTGTTACCTTCACATCAAATATAAAATTCTTCATAACCTGCCTCCTTCCTACCTTTCCAATTTTCTCACACCTTAATCTGCTTCACATACTCTTTCATTCAGTGACAGCAGCCTCCTTGCTGTTCCTTGCCCACAACAGATGTTCCTTCTTCCACTCTTGAGAGTTTTTACTTTCCCTCCCTCATTCCTGGAACATTCCCCCTCCTCATCCCCAACTCTGAGTTTCCCTGGATTCTTTCATATCTTTTGTATCTCACCTCAAGTCCCACCGTCTGCAAAAAAGCCTTTCCTAGTTCTCCTTAATTTTAGTACCTACCCTTAGAAATTGCCCCCCATTTGTGAGCTCCTTGAGGTAAGGGATTGGTGGGGTTTTTTTTCCTTTCCATGGTATCCCTAGTACTTAGAATCCTAGGTACTATGTGGCTAGCCCACGGTAGGTGCTCACTAAATGCTAGTTGAATTGATTTGACTTGACTTTTGATCATTTTTTTTCTTCATATGCATAAAGATGACCTGGTGTTTTAAAGCTAGTAATTCTGAGTCTTCATTGCAATGTTGCCTTATACTGACATCTACTCTCAGAAAATAGAAATAACTCTAAATCAGGAATTAGTCACATATTTCTCTCTTGATGAGAAATTTAGCAGGAGGAGAATTGGATATTTGCCAGACAATTTATCTTTAAGTGGCTCTCCTTCTCTTGTCATCCATGTCTCTTTGACCTGAGCAGGAAGAATTGGTAAGGATGAGTAGGAGGCAAAAAGCAGAAATACTGTAAAGGAACAGGAGCCCTGGGATAGTGGCAGGTTAAAATGGCTTCCCAACATCCAGAGAAGTACTTTCAAAAGAAATGCTTCTGTTAATCAGAATGGATATGGTAATGCCAAGAACTTTTTCATTAAAAATAAACACTATTTTTTTACTGCTCTCTAAAGCAAATAAAACAAAAGTGGGACTTTGCAGTTACAGTTTTATGTGTCTGACTATCATGCATATGTTTTGCTAGCTGTAGGGCAAAATATGCTGGTGGGGGGTGGGAGTGTCATGATTGAAAAATGATTTAATGAAAAGAAATTAACTTCAAACTGTGCTAATGGTCAGATGAGTTATACAAATGAGTCAGGTCAAGCCTAAGTCTATTTAGAAAGAGATTCTGCAGAAAAAATAGTATTGGGAATTACAAGAAAAGGAAAGTAGAGAACAGGGTCAATGCCATTGAAACTAATGGGGCTACTCATCAAAATCCAGGCTTTATAAGTTTATTTGCTCCCTATGGAGGATTTCTTTTATATGTAAGTGGAACAAAGATTTGATAGGAATGCTTGATGAAAACAAATGGAGCATGCCTGTCAAACCCAGGGTGCTAATGAATCCATTGGTCAGCCCCATTAGTTTCAATGGGCTTAAACTTCAGATATATTAAACTGTCATAAAGGCATATTGACTGAATATATGTTGATGACAATTTTTCAGGTTTGATTTCTGAGAGAGATTTTAAAATAGGCTATCGGATACTCCAAACTGTATTCCCCTTTCAATACAGAAGTCCATGGAGTATTGTGTTTTCTTCCGTATAAAAGGAGAATGAAAACCTGAACTCTATTTTTTTAAAAATACTGAACATCTCCTTATTAAATCTCTGATATGAAAACTTACTGTAAAGTGTCTTCAAACTGATCCTCTCACACTTGCTCTCTCTCTTTTACTCACTCTCTCTCTCTGCCCAGAATGAAAAAAAAAATTTAAAGCCACAGAAAAGTTTCATCCTTAAAAATAAAGTCAAGATCAGAGGTTTGACTTTCGGGATTTGAGACAGTGTAGACTAAATTAACTATGTGTGCATTGTCCATAGCAATTTTTATCCTAGACTATTTTTCCCCTTTTACTCCTCACTTTTCTTGACCACTTACACTTGGTAGCCAGTGGTGTGTAATAAAGAACTCAAAACTAATTGTGTCATTTAATTAAAAAAAATAGTAAGGTAAATGTGCGGCTTGAAAAAAAGGGATGCCAAAGCCACATTTTTAATGCCTTTTGAATTATCGTTTGTTTATATATGTGCACCACTGTACACCTCTATTAATGTGGTTAATCAAAAGTTGACCCTATTGGTGCTAATGGAGTGTTAGATAGTAACACTGGATTATCTTTCGGTGCATAACTTCCCATCTTTTCTGTTGATTTTAAATCCATCAGAGTTTATAATGGGAATGATGTATTGAACTTGAAAAATGGTGATTACCTTATCAAATTTTGAAATGTAGTTTATATCTTTTTTTAAGTTAACATTTTTTCAAACACTTCCTGCTTGTTATAGTGCTAATGATTTGATAGAAGAATGATGTCTTCATCAGCTTTCTCAGTAGCAGAGTCCTAGTAGGTGTGTCCTTCCCTTTCGTTTAGTGACATTTAGTAATTTATCCTATATATGATGGTTCACTTTTATGTTAGGAAGTCTCTAAAAAACAGGAAAGTTGTTTGAAAAGTTGAGACTTACAGATTTGCTATGATAGGAGTGTTAGTATCTAACCAGCTTGTAGATGACAGTCCTGAAATTGTGAACTATCTATTCTTGGTGGTAGAAGTTCAGGCACATTTGCTATGACAGAATTTATGATAGAATATGAACATAAAATATGTAAATCTGATGTGAAATATAAAAAGAAGTAGATGGCCAACATGTTTTCCAGGTGTGTCATTTTCTGTGGAATGGAAAAACTTTGGAGAAAATGTATTGACAAATGTAAGAGTTCTTATTCAAAAAAGATTTATCAATCCTTTACATAAAATATTATTTTGCATGATAAAACAATGAAGATACTGTCATAGTGAAAAATTCAACATTTACTGTTTCTTTTGGGACTCAATTTTAAAAAATTAGAGGTTAAAACTGAATTATTTTTAATGGTACCAGAACTATTAAAATACTTCTGGTGAATTTTTAGTTTTTGAGAAAATTACCCTAGGTATCTGCAAACTATGAATTTTTTCTTTAAAAATACAGAACTATAAACAAAAACCCATGCTGATATGACTGATTGGCTCCCCCATACCCATCACAAATTATCAACATTAGGTGATACACAATCAAATTGGATAGATATTTCTTGAAATGATGCATGGTATGCAGTGCATGCTTTCATTGTGCTTCCTGCCATTATGATATAAAGTGCCTTATTTGGAAATATAATGATCAGTTCTGTTAAATCATGTTCAATACCTTATATAATAACACCTATATTTGTGAATCATTTCAGATTTCAGAGAGCTATGCCTTCCTACCGAGAGAAGCGGTGACACGATTTCTAATGAGCTGCTCAGAGTGCCAGAAGAGAATGCATTTAAACCCAGATGGAGCAGATCATAAAGGTAGCTTCAGAGTCAAATGCTGAGATGTAAAATCATTTTATTCATCATACCAATTTATATCTCCTATTTTAAGTTAGGGTTCATAAAAAATGTGGTAGACTGGAACAATTCAACAAGTCAGATCATCTCATTTACTCCAGTTAGAAGGTAGTGAATCTCAGATATCTACTTAAAGTATAACTCAGCCACCCTTGTTTGTCCTCAACAGAATATTCTATGAGCATCCTCTCTGAGAAATGTGTAGGGTTGTTTTATTTTTTTTTTAACAAAGATGGTTGTATGGTAGCTTAAAACTAGATTACTTTTCATTTGCCTTGGATACTTTGTGTGTGGTCTTCTATGAAGGTATAAGGATGAAATACATAACCTTTCCGAGTCCCTTCCATTTCACTGAGTCCATATTTCTTAAGTGGATAAATAGGATTCAGTGAATAAGCAGATATTCACCTCAAAACTTTTAATTCTTTGGCTTTTGTTTTCTTTCATGGTAATCTAGAGGTTTGTGATATATAAATTGCTCTGTGAGATTAAGTGAGTTATATTGAGAGATGCACTTGGGCTGATTTATCCCCTGATGTACAGAGAGTTCCCAATTTGAGTTAGACCATTGATTTCAGTGGTATAATGAGGAGCTCATCAACTCTCACTACTAATTCAGATCAACATCTGCTTTGCAATTTAGTCTTAGAGATTTGCCTGGAAGATTAGGTTTCATAGGCAGCAGGTGTCAGAGGTTGGCAGCTAAATAGTGTAGCGGATAGAGCACCAGGCCTGCAGTCAGGAGGACCTGAGTTCAAATGTGCCCAGAGACACTTAGTAGCTGTACCCTGGACAAGTCACTTAGCCCCGTTTGTCTCAATTTCCTCATCTATAAAATGAACTGGAGAAGGAAATGGAAAACCACTGTAGCATTTGTTGCGAAGAAAACCCTAAAAGAGGTCACAAAAAATTGAACATGACTGAAACAAATGAACAACATCTGTCTGAGCTGGGATTTGAACCCAACTCTTCCTAACTGAAGCCTTTTTTCTGTCTTCTGTGATATGCTGCCTCTTCAAACAGCTTATAAAATCCTCTACTCAGAGTGGCTCCTCTCTATCTTATACCAAAGAGGTGCATAGGGACTATCTTCCTATATGCAAACAGAGGGAAAAGGTGAACCCTTTTGTGCCACTAGAATAAGATATTTCCCATTATCCATGCAGCATGACAAACAGCATGGTGTAGCAGAAAAGGTACAAGGCTTAGAATCAGAAAAAAATGTGAAGTGTGTCCAAAAGCAGTCAACCGACTTCTCTTAACCTTAGTTTCCCCATCTATAGAACAGAGATAATAATTTTTGTACCTTGCCTGGCTATTGTGAGGAAAGTGCATTATAAATGGTAATATGATATATAGATATATGTAGATAGATATATAGATGGACATGATAATGAGAAAGCCAGGATATGAAGTACCCTGGTGACTTGAGAGAGTTAATGAATCACTGTGATAATCTCTAGTAATTTGCATTTGGGAGAATCCAACTGATTCTTTTTTTTTTCTTTTCAAAGAATGTTTGAGCAATTAAACATATGGTGTCTTGGAACCCTATTGCAATAAGACAAATGGAGACTTTTGAGAATTGTTGAGCAAATTCAATATGGACTTATGCAATTAATCCACATGCCTGAAAAATACTTTCATTACAGATAACGGGAAACCTCCTACTTTGGTGACCAGCATGATTGATTACAATATGCCAATTACTATGGCTTACATGAAGCACATGAAACTTCAACTCCTCAGCTCCCAGCAAGATGAGGTAATGACATTGAAATAGCTCAACTCCCTGTGTCATCTTTTAAAAATTATTACAAAATAAGTGTGGACAATTGGAACAGTTTGTAGCAGCGAGGCTACTTTAAAAATTATAGTTATTTTTCATTATAAAATGGTCCTACCAGGGTCATACAGAGAGGAAAACTACTCAGCTAAAAATATGGAAGTGGACTAGCAGCCTTATAGAGAAGGCATTGCTAACATTCAGAAAGTTTACCTATATTCCATAAAAGGTTCTCCCACAGAGATGATGAAGCCAATGTACACTTTTCTCCATGACTACTTCCAGGAGGATTTTAACTTCTTTGTCTATTCTCATTTCCACTGGGATCTCATCACCTATCATGATTTCAGCATATATACATGTGTATGTATGCATGTATGTATATATACATGTTATCTGCCTTGTATAAAAATATAAATATACATATGTGTGCGTGTATCTTATATAAAAATACAGAGGCAGCTAGATTGCTCATTGAATAGAGTGCTGGGCCTGTAGTCAGGAAGACCTGAGTTCAAATCCAGCCTTAGACATTAACTGGCTACATGACCCTGGACAAATCACTTAACATCTGTTTACTTTAATGCACTGCAGAAGATATGGCCAACATCTTTACCAAGAAAACCTTATGGACAGTATTAGTGTTCTAGGGTCCACAAGGTCACGAAAAAGTCAGATACAACTGAATGACCTACAACCAGCAGCATATAAGTGTACATATACATGTATAAGTGTGTGTGTGTGTGTGTGTGTGTGTATATATACATATACACACACATACATATACACACATATGCATACACACATACATATACATACACACATACATATGTATGTATGTGTGTATGTATATGTATGTATATATACATATATATGCATACAATATATACATGTGTATGTGTGTATGTATATGTATATGTGTATGCATATGTGTGTATATGTATGTGTGTATATGTATATATACACACACACACTTATACATGTATATATACATATATATGCATACAATATATACATATGTATGTGTGTATGTATATGTATGTGTGTATGCATATAAGTGTACATATACATGTATAAGTGTGTGTGTGTATATATACATATACACACACATACATATACACACATATGCATACACACATACATATACATACACACATACATATGTATATATTGTATGCATATATATGTATATATACATACATATACATACACACATACATACATATGTGTGTGTATATATATATATATATATATATATATATAATATATGATTCATTACATTTCTGTTTCACATCTTTTCTAGGCCTATATCTTTCTCTCTGTAAAATGTCATCATGTGGTTACCTAAAATGAACATTGAAAGACAAAGGGCCGTGTAATCCCTACCCAGCCCCTTAACTTACCCCAGCTATCTTCTCTATTAATTTTAATAAGAATGACCATCACACAGGAATTTCCTTTACATTGCAGAAATATTTTTAGGTTCCCACCCTCAAAGCCTTGGTGCAGACATCCATTTTCTTTTAAATGGATAAATGAAATCTGTCCTTACTTTTAGCATCTTTTCCTTTTAACGCAACTTAAATATGGCTCCCAAAATCATTCAAGAACACTCAAATGTCTCCTGAGCATGCTTATTGTATCTAGAGACCTGGGCCTTGGATCATGGGAACCTGGTTTCAAGTCCTGTTTCTGACATATAGTGTCTGGGTGACACTAGAGGAGTCACTTTCCCTCTCAGTGACCTAGCCAACTCTCAAAGACTAAATGCTACAGATAAATTGCATTCCTAGATAGTATTCCCCACTGGGAGTGCCCTGCAAGCATATATATGCTTGTATATAAGGATATAAATGTTTACAATTCCCCAAAATAATGCCGTGAATATTACCAATTTATAAACTTATTACCATGAGTTTGAAAACCATTTCAAAACAATTAAAATCAATAAATATAAATTAAGTACCCACTGTGCTAGATATTAAAGAGGTGACTAATTTTTTAGATAAAACCTCAAGGTTTCTTCCCTCCAGGAGTGTTCAGTTTAATGGGAAACAAGAAGACAGGTAATTATAATACACAAGTGCATTTGAAAAGTATAAAACATGACTCTTAGTGTCCCTATTTGTAAAATTAGGATATTTCCTCTCTCATTAAATAGGAGAGCTTCATGAGATAGGGTTTGTGAAAGTACTTTTTAACTATAAAGGTGATATGTAAATGTGAGCTATTATTGACATATCTGGCATTAGTTGCTTACAATTAGCACTTAATCTGCTTAATTATAACCTTTTTTTTGACATCTGGACTCCTGCTATTACATGCAGAACAATCCTTTGAAATCAAAACTCTTAACTACGTCTGTTAGTCCAAGAAAAGTTCACGTGAAACAAAATCTTGTTATTAGTCACAGATTAAGTAAAGTTAATCCTTTTCATTTACTACAGGCCTCTCTATTCAGTAACAAGCTGCACAAGTATATATTTTTTTCCTTTGTGCTCAGTACTAGTGTAGGCAGGGGTTAAAAAAAAGCATCCTAGAAATAACTAGAGAACAAGTTGGTTTTTTTAAAAAGTAACTTATTTAAATGAAAAGTTACTAAAGATTAAACATTTATTGAATACTTAATATGTGCAAAGCACTGCATTTAAAGCTCTGTGGCTACTGAACTCATCATTCAACCCAAGCTGCTCTCTCCAAAGTTGCCAATGATCTCTTAGTTGGCAAAATCTAATGTATTTTTATCAATCATCATCTTCCTGGACCAATCTGCAGCTTCTGACACTGTTACTCACCTCTTCTCCATGAGATTTTCTTTTCTCGGCTGGTTCTTCTCCTGGAAACTTCTCTTTCTCTGTTTCCTTTGCTGGATCTTCATCCACTTCATGTCTACTAATGGTGAAGGTCCCCAAAGCTGTGTGCTGGCCCTCTTCTCTTTTCCCTCTTTATATACTATTTATTTTGGTGATCTCATGAATTATGGTTTCACTTATTTCTAGCTGAACCTTTCTCCTAACTTCCAGCCTTACCTCTCCAACTACCTTTTAGACACCCTGAACTGAATGTCCCATAGACATCTTAAACACAACATAACCAAAGCTGAACTCATTATATTTTCAATAAATATAAAGACATTGAGTTTGGAAACAAAAAAAAATGAATTTCACAAGTAAAGGATAGAAGAACATGATAAAGTAATTGTGTGCAAAACTCTTGAGCCTTGGGGAGTCTAAAAGTGGAATCAGTTGTTTTTCATTCATTTTTTTTATAGGATTATAGATTTAGAGTTTGATAGTACCTTATAGAGTGTCCAGTCCATGGATGGGAAGGCCACAGGTTCCCCATCCCTGGTCCAGTCTAATTTTACAGATAAGGAAACTGAAACCAAGACAGACTGACCTGCCCAAAGTAACACAGGTAATAAGAATAAGAACCAAAATGTGAACACAGGTCTTCTGACTCTGCAGAATGACATCAAGCAGGAGGGGAAAAGGAATAAGCATTTATTAGGTACCTACTACATTCAAAGCACTGTACTAAGTACTTTACAAACATTATGTGTTTAGTTTGACCTCCGAAATCTCTTCCAATTTTGAGATTCTATCATGTCCTGATACTACGTTTTAGCCATGATCTTTGACTCCAGGAATTTAAAGGATGATAAAAAATTTGAACCTTCGCATTACCAGAAAGGGGACCAAGAAAATACTAATAACTACCAACCCACATATACGACTACTTTCTCATCTGTATAAAATTTTGTGAGGATAACCTACTGATACATCAAGGGCATCCTTGAAAGTGTGAGAAGGGGCAGGTAGGATTGTGTTGAAAGCATTCATTGATATTCATGATCATGGTCACAAAATTGACTGAAAATTAAAAAAAGAAAGTGATACTATCCTACTCTATTGCTTGGGTGGCACACTGAATAGAGCACTGGCCCTGGAATCAGGAGGACCTGAGTTCAAATCCAGCCCCATACACCTACTGCTATGTGACCCTAGGCAAGTCACTTAACCCTGTTTACCTCAGTTTACTCATCTGTAAAATGAGCTGAAGAAGGAAGTGGCAAACTACTCCAATATCTTTCCCCCCTAAAAAAAAAAACCAGCAAAATAGGGTCACAAAGACTTAAGCAACAATTGAAATGACTCAACAAGGGCTCTGTTTAATGACTATAAAAAAAAATATTTGACAGAGTGAAACAAAACACTGCTTTAGCTAGGTATCTGTGTGCAAATTTAAAAATTATAGGATATTCTTTGAAACACATAGCAACAGGCAGTTTTGCTTAACGTTTCTATTAATATCAAGTGATATGAAAAAACGTGAAGATGTATAGTCACCAAAGATGTTCACTTCATTCAGGTAAGATGTACAACATAGAGTTCAAATACGGTAGGGATTCCCTATATATGGTGAAATCTTCTGGTCCTCCTGTTTAGCAAAGATGATGTGCTGTTTGTAAGCTCCAGAACATTGCAGAGTCTCCTAAATGAGAACTGTAAACATTTAGGGTTTGAATTACTACCCACACAAGAAAAGGTTGTTATCTTTGTCTGTTCTTTGTTCTCAAAGAGGACCATAGCATCAGAGAGGTGATGCCATGACATGCAAGTGAATTGGATTTAAGTGAGGCAGGGCTGTGCAAAGTCACCAGCCTCACTTTCTCCTCCGGAGCCATCTGAGTCTAGTGGTGAGATATCATTCAGGACGACTGTAGATGGCTCTGGATACAGTGAGAGACTTTGGCCTTTTTAAGCTAAGATCTTTAACAGGTCTCAGTTTGACTGAGGCAGCACATCATTCTGCCTCTCATAATTACCAAAGAAGCTTTCATTTTTAAAAGTCTATACTTTTTATAGCTTTAATTTTAACTCAAATTTTTAACTCCTTTTGTTGTTGAGTCGTTTTTTAGTTTCATCCAACTCTTTGTGTCCCTTTTTTGGGCTTTTCTTGGCAAAATTACTGGAGTG